GGCCAGGGCGGGCCCGGGCCGGGGGCGGCGGGCAGGCCGGGGGCACGTGATTTCTTCTTCTGGCGGAGGGTTCAATGGGCTCCAGCGGATCAACTCAATCAGCTCGTGGGGATGGCACAGGGGAGGGCAAGGTTATCCGTTGTTCATAGGGCCACTGTTGGTGAATTTGAACTCCCGGAGAGATTAGCAACTCAGGTCTACAGACTGCACCAGAGCTCCTCGTGAGTTGTTCACCAGTGGAAGCTAAATTAGCAGAGCAGTGTTGTAGACAAGTCTAAGTTTGCATCAATTTTGTTGAATAATGTCCAACTTGTACTCCATTTTACTTCTACTTATTAGGACGATAGGCCCAGAATCAAAAGACTCCCCAAAACAGATCATGCTAGAATATGTGATAAGGGAGCTCTGGTGAATTGTTGGAAAAGAGTTGTGCTACCAACTCAAAGGTTCAAATCCACCTGCTCCTCCAAAGGAGAAAGGTAGGCAATCTCCCCTGCAATTTACTGCCTCTGAAAACCTGCTGGAGAGCCTGTTCATGAATTCGTGTAGCAAGTCAAGCTTTTGATTGAAGGTTTTAATGTAAAATACCAAAATTACTCCTTTTCATTAGGGTCTCATTCATTCGTCTCCTACATCAAAATGTACAGTTATTAACACAGCAATTGTCAGTTACCAGAGAGACCTGAAATGTTCTGTAGTGGCATCCACTTCCTAAACAACATGCCTCTGAAAATTCTATGAACGTTGAGAAACAACGATAGTTATAGAAAGGCTTCAGGTCTTTTGTTCATAGGGTCTCTATGAGTCGTGTTCGACTCGAAGGCAATCAACAACACAATATAAGCAGAACTGTTCATTACTAATCAATTTAACTCATCAGCATTCAATGAGCACCTGTTATGTGTTTTCTGTTAGGTGTTGTAGAGTAGAGCATGACTCACAGCGACTTTATGAAGAACAGATATGAACCCTGTCCTGTCCTTTGTCATCCTCATTATCTCGGACATACTTTTACCCATTGCTTCAGTCACTGTGACTCTTCACTTTCCAAGTATGGTATCTCTTTCCAAGGAATAGCCCCTCTTAACAATATGCCCAAAGTATGTTAGACGAAGTTTTACCACCTTTGCCTCTAAGGAGCACTCTGGCTTCACTTTCTCCAAGATGTATGGCAATGACTTAGCCTTACTTGCACAAAGTGAGGAGGACTTGCGGTGCTTGCTGCAGAAAGTCAAAGATTACAGCCTTCAATATGGATTATCTCAAAAGCAAAAAGACAAAAATCCTCACCACTAGACCATGATAAATGGAGAATAGATTGAAGTTGCCAGTTATTTCATCTTACTTGGCTCTACAATCAACATTCTTGGTACTAGCAGTCAAGAAATCAGAAGGCATGTTACATTAGGAAAATCTGCTGTCAGAGACCTTTCCAAAGCCATAGTCTTTTCAATTACTTGCTTTCCATCTGGAAATTGGACAATGACTAAGAATGATGAATGAATCGATGCATTTGAGTTGTGGTGTCTGGAGAAGAGTACCAAATATCCCATGCACTGCTCAGAGACAAATGATGTATTAAAGGAAGTGCAATCAGAGTGTTCTTAGAGCCGAGGATATAGCAAAGCTTTGCCTCATATACTTAGCATGTTGTTAGGAGGGGTCAACCCTTAGAAAAGGACATGATGTTTGGAAAAGTGGAGGGTCAGTAAAAGAGAGGAAATCCCTCAGGGAAGTGGATTGATACAGTGACTTTAACAATGGGCTGAAGCCACAGCTAAGAATTACAATTCTGAGTACCTCCTCTTGTGGTATGATAGCAGAGGAAAATGGCAGTGCTAATGGATATGAGATTATCTTATAACACATTTTCTGATAAGGGAAATGGTTCAAATTTAAGTATTCATAACATGAATATTTTGGTTGCTATTAATAATATTTTGTATGCTATAGATTGAAGGAATGGCTTTGTCTTTAAAATAAGAAAGGTTTCACAACATGCACCTGGTGCTTTACCAATAGGTTCTGGTAGTTCTAGTATTTTCATTCCTGTATTACTGAAATTATTACACTTATTAAATACCTACTATGATTAATAAATAAAAGCATTTAATATAAGCAAACAGAAGAAAAATTCTAATAAGTAAACTTTTAATTTCATGGTTTGCTTTTTGGGGGTTTTTTTGTTGTTTTGTTTTTAAAAGCAATACAAACTCATTTTATGAATATGATTTAGGAGCATGCTTAATTTTTCCTATAAACACGCATATTATGAAATGTACTAACTCCCATGATAATAATGTGTAATTATATAAATAAAACATATTTTAAAAGCCAAAAAAAACCAAACCAAACAATGGGCTGAAGCATATCAGAGATGACAAGGATAGCATGATAGGATAAGGTTCAGCTCTGTTATTCATAGGGCCACTTGTAATCAACTTGACAGCACCAAACAGTAAAAACATCACCAGTGCAGCTTGTTGTGCATTTCTGTCCAGTCAGTTCTGACTCCTGCCAACCCTATATGTGCAAAACAGAACTGAGCAGTGACGTTTTCAAACTTACTACCTTTCAGAAGCATATAGCTGGTCTGACTTTAGAGGAGGGAGCTCTGGTGGCTCCTGGTAAGCAGCTGTACTGCAATGCCAAAGGCACCGCTGGGTAGGCTTAAGTAAGCAGCCTTCTAGCTTGTTGAATATGCCATCAAGTCAATTCTCATTCATGCTGATAATAAGCGGTTAGTCCTTTGCACTACCCAGGGAGTCCTACAGTATGTATTACTCATGATTCTAACTGATGGGAACCTGAAAGGACAGATTAGAACTGTTCTTCTCTTTGGTTTTCCAAGGCTACAGATTTTAACAGAAGCAGACTGACATGTCTTTCTTTTGCAGAACACTGGTGGGTTTGAGCTAAGTGCTTAACCACAGTGCCACAAGAACCCTCTGCAGCCTGCATGCACTGTGTCCTCTAAAGGTTTATTACAACTTGCATACACAGTCACACTCTGTCAATTGTACTTTCTTCTTCATTCTAGAGTTCTCTGAAAAAGGAAGTTTTTAAAAGGTTATCTAGTAACTATGCATTGCTCTCGAGTCAGAACCAACTCATAGCTGACCCACCAGTGCACTTTCTGAGGCTGTAAGTTGCATGGGAAGAGATTGACCATATTTCTCCCAAGGAGAAAATGGTGGATTTGAATTGTTTGCCTTTAGGCTGGAAGTGCAACTGCTTATCCTCCAGGCCACCAGAGATCCCTTTATCTATCATGTTATGTTATATACCCTGTAGATGGAACAAACTCATAGCTGACCCTCCAGTAGGTTTTCAGAGGCAGTAAACACATGTGAGGAACTTGTCTATCTTTCTCCCGAATAGCGGCTGGTGGATTTGACCCCACAGGCCTTTGGTTGACAGTATAGGTCCTTACCTTTAAGCTGCCATAAGCTTCCTTAAAAAGAAAGTCAGAGCTACTTTATGGCTTCCACATTACCTTTTAGTGATAAAAAAATTAAAAATAAAATAAATGATAGTGTGATGTAGAATACCATCAGTAAAGATAAATTACAAACTGATTGGCTATCTACCATGTCATCCTATCCTGACAGACTTAAATTCCTTCTTCAGTAATAAGTGAGTGGTTTTTTTCTTGTCCCTTCTCTCTATCCCTCTCTTCTGGCTACTTAAACATGGCATTACATTTTAATTAAAGAAGTTCCCAAGGCAGCATCTGTGTTTTGTAGCAGCATGTGTGCCTGTCCTGCTGGAAAATAGCTAAGCCAAATCACAAGGGAAGTTTGTGGGCTAACAAGGTGCACAGCTTGAACAGGATCTCAAGTCCTGGTGTTTCAAAGAGTTAGCAGCATGGCCTTCTCTGAGCTTTCCCCTTTCAGAGAGCACTCTGGCCTTGTAGATGGCCTTTGACCCTGCTCCTAAGCTATCTGATTTCCCTCCAATCCATAAAGAACAAATAAGCAAACAAGGGCATCACTACCACCAGCAGCATGCTTCCTCACCCAAATTAGAATGCTACAGTAGTTACTCGGCAACAAAGCTTGCTAAGGATGACCCCACTTACATAAAATATCTAGAACAAGCAAATACATAGAAACCACAATTTATTAAGGGTCTCTAGGGACAGAGGAGGAAAGGGGAGTCACTGCTTAAAAGCAGAGTTTCTGTCAAAGGTGATGAAAAACTTTGGAAAAGAATAGCGGTGATGGTTGCACAGCATAACAGTGACAACTACTGAATTGTACGTATTAAAATGGTTGGAATGTCAAATGTTTTGTTATGAGTATTTTACCACAACTGAAAAATAAAAGATGCTGGCAAAGCATAGTTACGTGACTATGTATTGCCGCATTGACTCTCTGTGTGGATTGCATTTTGCAAACAAAGGTAATACCAGGTGTGGATAAGGACAGGATACAAGGAGCTCCATGGAAGTGAGAGCCTCCCAAGTTCTGACCTAACAGCTGAGATTCAGGTTATGAACACAGAGACCCCCTCTGCTACAGTCATTTGGCTTTGGAATCCTGCCAACAATCAGATCAAGCGTGACAAGTCTTTGAGTAGGCTAATGGTAGATCAGAAATGATTTCAACCTAGCTTTCTAGTAGATCCAAAAGAGAAGGTTGTGTCAACATTTTTAGAATTAAGAAAGAAGGAAGGAGGGAGAGAGGGTAGTGAGTCAGGGGACAAGAAAACACACTCATATCAGACACCTTGAGAACAGTTCTGGAAAACAAGTCCCTAAAGCCTTCAGATACTGTACTCTGTCAGCAAGAACTTGACCAGCTAGTTCTGAAA